GCATCGTGCTCTTCCTTAGTGTTGTCCTCATCGCCTATGCGCTCGTTTGGCTATTGGACAACAGATAAATCATGCAATTGCCAAGAATCTAATCGATTGTTTCATCTATTCACAACGAATCTTATATAAAAGGTATGCGTTCCCACCCATCATTAGTTCTTTGGCCTCTTCTCTTCCGCTTCTTTCTCCTTCTCCTTCCTCCTCATCATTAACTGTACGTATAACTCTTGGGAAACGGGATCCATTGCATGAACGTGCGTGTGGTGGTGTGCATGTCTGTCAAGAAGTATCACGACGACTTACGATCAAATCTCTTGCTTTCTTTCATTTCTATAGCCGTCTCCTCCTCGGTCTCGCCCGCCACTTTTTCTTTAAAAAACAACAATCTAAGTGTTACTGCTTTAAAAGAGGAGAGAAGCAAAAGTTTACATAGTGTGTGTCAAAGATGATGATGACTGTAGTATTGATTACTCACGATCGAGCCTCTTCTTTTTTTTGATTGCTCTCTTGCTCTCTTGCTCTCTCTTGCTCTCTGTACACGACGTAAGTATTCTTTTTTCTATGCTACGCAGATGATGCTTTCTTTCTCTATTACCCGCCGCTATCTATCGCGATGTTGTTATTAACGATTCTTCCCGCTACTATATCCTACAGAGGCGCCTGGCCCCAACCGTAAGCCTAGCCCCATGCGCTAGAGTTTCCGTTTCGCCACAGCGGACATGGATTTAATAAACTTTCACCTCCGTTTATACTCTTTGCTAATAATTGTTGTGTGGTGCTCTATGTAGTCCAGCTGTGGCTGTCGCCCCAATGTGACGTAGTACCTCGTGGGCTGCCCCCCAACTGTGAGTAAAAAGATGATTTTCTTTTTGTTTTCGAGGGTTATAGGGAAGAGTTTCTCTTGCAAGCAGGGGGAAAGGATCTTTTAAGTATGATACTGACATGTGTGCTCACTCTGTTTATATTACATTATAGGTGGTACGCCTTTCTTTTTACTATGCTTTGTGGCCTGTTCTTCACCATCATGTGTCGTGAAGTAGTATAGAAGATATAGTTACTAACTAGAAATGGATCATCATGTATGTTGCCCGATGTCTGGTCATCCTTTGTTCCATTACTCAATCGGTGGTGAGTTATCTCTTGAATCTCTTTCACACTATCCACCGGTATGCATTGTTTATTAACCTACCAACTGATGTGTACTAATTTTTTCTTTTCCTGTATGTTGGCCTTTCCTTGACCTCTCATTTGCACACCCTTTTCTTTATCGTCATTTATTGTTGTGTACACTCCAAAACTTGTAATTTATATCTCTTCATTTTCCAATCCACGCACAATCACCCCTCCTTGTTTTATACTCTCATGCAAAAATCATATTTTGTTTTATGTCTTGGATATTAAGACTCAACAATAAAGTACCCCCAGGGTATTTTTTCTCTGGCTCCTTCGCTCTGTAGGCTTACAGTATTAACACGTCCTCGGGATTATTTACCTACTACCAATTGGTATGTGGCAGGTATAAACGATTATCAGAACGCCAACCTATCTTTATCCTTCTGCGCTTCGTATTTCTAGAGCCTCTTGTCACGCGTTAAAAGGGATAAGCTTTACGAGTATTGTGTACATTTGTAATTCTACAAAGACGACTACACATATGAGTAACGACGCATATATGTTATGATTACAAAACCATGACTGATGCGCATGTATGGCAGCTGCAATATTTTCTAATCGGCTTCCTTAATCTAACACTGAGGCATCTAAGCAAACATCTTATGGTATCTCCAGGTCAAATGTGGTATTGTAAGCATATCCGCGGGTGGATTTCACTTTTATTGAAATGGTAAAAAGTTTTACAATTATTTCTGTAGCTCGGTTTTCGATTGTAAAAGTGCATGATAAAGAGTTAACGTCGACAAGAGTTTTGCATCGGGTGCTATTTTCCATGCGTCCTTCAAAGATACCAGCTTGAGAGTTATGTTCTCGCCTCGGTCTCTCAGCCCTCCGAGTTTGCCTTCTAGTGCCTCGATGTCGGATCGAGCCATATGCTTGATGCACATAAACAGTCGCACAAACTCATCTACGGACGATTTTGAGAAGTACATACAACATCAGCGTTGTGAGAAATACGTATAATAAACAAAGACGGATAGCGTAATATAACAAACACATTTAAGTATGACCAGTACTTACCGCAACCACCAGCAGAAGGGTACATTCCTTGCCACCGATCACCATAAGCTTTATGAGTAAGATCCACAAGCTCATGCTCTTGGATAGACAATCCTTAGTTGTTATTGTTGCATATGTAAGTCAATTTTACGAGTTATAAAACTGATGTCAATCACGCATTTTGTTTGACTGCGTGTCTACGTAATTGAACAAGAAAGTATCGGCTCGAACCTGTCTCCTCGTAAATTTCTCTTGCAGCGGTCCCTGCAAAGTTACCAGAGCCATCCAGCATGCCTGCAGGCAGTTCTGGGAATTCCAAACTGGCAACAGGAACCCTCGGTTGCAACGTCAGTAATATTTGGTCCTCTTTTTCGGGACATCGCAATATGATCAACATCGATACTGACCCCCCTCTCTACACAAAATACAGTAACAACCCCCACCACCCAAAAACAACAGCATCCCATTGAGAATTGTAAATTAGAAAACACTCGCGCGTGAAAATGAATATACAGAAATGCAGAGGAGAAAGAAACGGCTACTAAATTTGGGTCTATCTCGTTCATTCTTGCTTACCAAAAACACAATACCGGGGGCAGATTTTCCGGTTTCCTTGTAACGGACGTCCGCTTTAAACTTTACAAAGCCAAGTTTTCCGGACCCAAACATATCTGTATTTTGTATTTCAACGGAGAGAATGTCCATTTCGCTATTACGTTCACGCTGCGCCTTTTCCATACGAGCAGCCCATTCTTTGAATGGTCCGAACTCCAAAACTTTGTCTAGTACATCAGTTGTAATGGTAGTATTAGATCCCCCGTGCACTTTTACGCGCTGATCTGCAATCAAGACGGTATGCGACATTGTAACTGACACCGTTTGATTGAAACGTAGCGACTGTACTGGTTCTTTCGTTAAAAGTTGGTGGTAACAGTGATTGAGGTGAATTAATACCGATCGTAGCGGAAACATCCAAAGTGGCCAAGGCGTTCTATTTTAGGGGTCAGAACCCTCCCGACTTGAGAGTAAAACAGTTGGGTTTCAGTTCCTCCAGCGCGGGAAATTGATACTACTAACATGTATGTTTGTTTTAGGAAGCCAATTTACTACGTTTATCTACGCAAAGCAACAAAAGATAATTGCAACAGTGTAAAGTAAGGGCACACATACTAAAATGACTCTCTCAGCTTAGACACCATCAAGAAGTGGTTTGTGTTTCCATATATGCCATCTTCAGGGAACTCACAGTACAGCAAAAGAACTTGTACAGATGAAGCATTGCACGTATCTCTTCTTTTCCTTTTTCCTTTTATACTCTCGTTTTTCCCGGTATAAACTTCTGCACAAGTCACACCAAGCAATCCACCCATCGGGACTACATCCTGAAATCAAGAGCCTTTCTATACTCATATTGACTCTAACGGCTAACAAGTATTCCGTATGACGGGGAGGTTTGCGGACACAGGTACGTAATAATATAATATCTGATTGCTATACATAATTCCCGCTTTAAGAAGCCCACTTACAACGACTGACGGGATCATTTTTACCTATGTATCCATGCAGAAAACAAGAGAACGTGCAACGTACTGGGTTCAAAGACCTCAAGGCGGCTTCATTCCACAGAGAGGAAGGAAAATAAAGTGCTGTCGAGACCAGGATGGCAATTTGCTGAATCCGGCAAGTGACTGGATACAGGCACGCCCGCAACCGCCAGGTAAAAGCTAATTTCTACTAATAAGGTATATAAACATTAGTTATGTTCTGCTGTACTAAATTGGCATGGAATACCATAATAGATTGGGTGATGTGGAAGATTAAAGCTTGCAATAACCATCCAGAGCCTGATCCAGAGGCTGTGGTATGTTTTCACCCTTTAAACCCACGAAGGATTCTGCCTAATTATATGCTAAAAGTGTTTTGTTTTCTCATCTAGATTGTAGACCGGGATAAAAATGCGGCATTGAACATAAGAAGCATAGGCATAGCCTATATGAATAATGATGGACATCCAGACTTTCGACCAGAGGCATTCCTACCACCAGGTGGACAGCTCCCTCAACAAGCGCAACTTCAAGAAGATCAAGAAGAACAGGAGGAACCAGAAAACAATATTTTAGCATTAGAAAATGATAGGAATTAGTCGAAATTCCACTACGATTGTATCTCGGGGCCAAGAGAACAGGGCTTTTACTCAACGCGGAAGCCACGGACTCTGGAGTAAGTACTAAATCTATTTTCTATGACTGTTTTGAAACATTTGAATCATCACTAATACACTGTCTACATTTGTGGAAAAATTATTTTGACCAACCTCATTCATGTTACCCAAACCCAAACTTCTCTCCTTGTCCATACTACATTCCGAGGTCCGCCCTTTCCTTCTCACGTTTTGTTGATGCTTTCTCTATCTGCTTGTTTTATTGCATATACTGTATGTATATAACCGTGGTGCTCCAGTATTTTTGCTGCTGCTATCATTTCAGATATACCAAGAGCTGTTCTTCGAGAACTAGAATACTCTAAAGAGTGTTGGGATGATATATGCTCAGTTTTATGTGCTAAGTGAAGTGTGCTCCAAGTCTGGTTTAAATCTTATTCACATTATATCTATAGGAGCATTCGCTGCTACGTTGGAATGACCAATAATCGCGTTTCAATAGCAAACTCAACAAATGTCGAGCCGGTCATCGGTGTTGCACCGTTACCTTCGTCCGACGGACCATAATTACAGGTTGACACATATACAGCTGCACCTTTGACATAATGAAGGTAAAAGACTGGCATCCAATATCGTTTTTTAAGGCTGTTACAAAAATGCCTAAATATGGCTTATTTGACACTTTTGTAACAATTAATCTTGATTAATTTGTCAAAAGATCGACTACCTGCGGTCAGCCTTCTAGACCTTGTTCATGACTAGCGATGAAGAACAGTCGATTACATCATTGGTATCACATAATTTTATTACCAGCTTAGAAAAGGCAACATGAGGTCTTCATCAGCAGTGTCTTAGGAACAACAACCAGGGTTTGACCTTCGTACTAAAATTTCGGGCAGAAGTTTTCTCCGCGTTTTCTTATACGAAACATTGACACATCCAACATTAAGTGGCAAGGCTTACTTGCTCCTTCAGCAACGGCAGTATCTGCAAGACAGTACAGTGCTTCTCTTTCAACATTATACTTGTTGTGTCGACTAGCTTTTCTAGTGCCACATTTGGATATTTTGCTCGACGCAGGGACGTCATAGCCAATAGAAACAGCGTAGCAGCAGGGATGGTTATCATAGTAGTATGATAACGGGTGATTTACCATCAAAAGCTTAAAAAAAGCTCTACTTATCTCTTGAGTCTCGAAACTTAATTACTTCGAATATGACCGTTTTACGACACTTGGTTGACAGCGTTTTAGTAACAAACTAAATAGCCATAAGCAGATATAATTGCAATATCATATACGAAGGCTCTATGTTCATTCTCATTACATTAGCAACCTTGCTTCTTTTTGTAATACGCCATACGTGTATAGTGGATCAAAATCACGACACTGATCGCACCGAGTTAGGTATCAATTATGGGCTATGATGCATATCCACGAACCATATGGAGTAGCATCTTTAGAATATAATTCGTGGAAGAGATTCACGTCAATCGTTCTTGTGAACACGCAGAAGAGTTCCAAAGAAGAGGATGTTAAGCGGAGTCAGCCCCAAATTGCAACACTTTTCTATGGCACTGGTTACCATATACAGTTAGTCTTTTCCCTTTAATGAATAACCAACAAAGAGCAGCGGTTCCAACAATCATATAAATTTGTTACTATCTCGCTATCTCTTATAGCTTATACTGTGTTGAAGTTTGCTCACCCGTTGCTCCATCGGTATACTATCAGAGATACTAAAAGGATAGTCAAGTTTAGAGTAAAGTCACTTCAAGCCCTTTCAAGAGCAGTAAGTAGTAAAGGTTGGAGCATCTGCTGTCTTGTTTGTATGTAGATTACATTGCGGATATGATAATACATGATGCATGCTTCGCTGCCAGGATATTTTCCCACAACGGCCACAGTGACAGCAGCGAGCCAACGACCCCATGTGTGATATAGCAACTCTAAAATGAATCAGATTAAATAGGGCTACTAGTAACTTGAAGTCCGTGTAGCTCATATTATAAGCTTGTTATATGTGTATCCTGAGGACGAACGCGAGACTACATAGTCAAGAAAAATGATGAGAGGTGGGCCTATTTGTTTACACAGCGTTTAAGTAAAACATTATCCAAGTGTACAATGCGTCAGTGCTATGTACGGTACCAGGTCTAAGCCATTTTTGGAATCGGGACTTGAAATATGAAATTGCAACAAAATAAAATTTTGTCGGTTTAAGGTGATGTGCATCATACTTTAATCTACTGCTACTGTGAATGGTAGTCCTCGAGCAATTTAGCCATGTGGGTTTTAACAATCATATCAGTATAAGCATATATACACGTTATGCATATTCTTTTTTCAAATCTTATAAAGCTAATACTTTTTGCTCTCATATCGACGCTCACTGTCATCACCCAATAAAAATCCGATCCACAATTTGGATATGTTAGTTCGATAGAAGCTTTCGCTGGTATTCTCCCTACCCTTTCCCTCTCTCAACATCACCTTTATTTCTCAAGCTCCAGACTCCAGACACCAAGTTGCTGTGTAACACAAAGATGTAACTCGTCTTTATTATCCTGGAAATGTAAAAGAACAGTTTGTGGTACTGTAAAATATGAATTCGTGCATGAGTGTGTGGTGTATAGAAAAACGTACAAAGACGTGGCTATTAAGTGGAGAGAAGAAACACCATATTAATTGCGTTATCGTGTTGCTTTCCTACCCTACTGTGAATATTGGCCATTGGGAGGAAGGGTATGCTGTTGCAAACAAAAAATGTGCCATGTTTCCGTGATAATTAATAATCACTGACTAGCTTTCTATATAGTCATACACCTGGCTTTTAGTATTTTATCACACGGGAACATACAGTCATTTTTTCTTCTGTTATTGTCGTTACCTAAATCGGTGTATTGCCACAACAGCATTAAAGCAAGCTCGGCATTTAGAAGTTGGAGATAATACAGGTTCACGAACACGGTGTGGTATTCCTAGTTCCTTTAAATACTCTAACGTTTGCGATTCACTAAAAGAGAAGGAAACCCTCAATAAGTATTACAAAGAAAAAAACGTTCTCAATCCAATGTTTATCCGCACCATGATTCCAAACTTTTGTTAACAAGCATTAAGTATCTCTTTTGAAAAACTATGTATTAACGGAGTATGGAGATTTAGTGGATTGATAACGTGCAAGGCTTGCCCCTTGATTATAAACACATATAGGTTGAGAATGGCTAGGATGTACTTACCGAGTTCAACTCGTCTCTGACGCTCCAATGCGTATCCATCCTGAGCTTCATTGAGTGCCACTATTAAGCGATTTATTGATAAATCACGTCGCCCATCAGATTGCTCCTGCAGACCGGATCGTTGTGAAGATCGCTAGCAGCATATCAATATGTTTGTAAGTTATTCTTCATACAAGTCTTCACCTTTTGTTTCAATGAAATAATTTTAATAAGTTGTGTTACATGTGTTGGAAATGGTGTCAACGGAGATAATAATACGTTGTTGCTGTTGTCGTTGTTATTGTTTTTCTCACCATCCCGTTGTTCGATCAGTTGCGCTTTTCGTTCAAGTAGATTATTCAGCCGAGCATGATCTGTTTGTTCCTGTTCGTGATGCTGGTGATATTGGACGCCATTCAATCCATCATAGTCGGTCTCCTGGTACTGATCAATAGCATCTTGTCGATCTGTTGCAGCCGCTGGGTTTTCTTCTCTTCTCGACAGGAATTGATCCAGTTGATCCTGTAAGGACTGAATCGAGGCTTCTTGCTTCGTCACAATATCTTCCAAGCGCGTTTTGTCAATTATTGCTTGTGATAATTCATCCTTTGTAGACTGGACCGTGCTCAATAAACTGGTATTTTCTTCGCGTAGCCTTCGAACAAGTGACTTCCAGGAAAACTATACTAGAAAATGTAGAATCAAGCCTTTAATTTTTTCATTCTTTATTGTCCTCGTTATTAGTATATAGCCCAGCTACCAGTAACAGCAGTAACACATCTTACGTTACCTCTGAGTCAATGGCAAACTGTTGCGTTCGATTATCGTTAAAAGACTATAAATGTACACTCGAGTGTATTAGAGTTCAAATCCATGCGTTCGATTAGTAATTACGACTCTATTTCAATACCACGTTTTCTTGTTCGTTGAATTCACGGCCAATCTCGTCAAAAAGTGTACGTGGTGGTGCGATGGGAAAATTCCCAGCAGAAAGCGGTCTCGACGATGTTTTCGTGACAAAAGATGACTGAGGTAAATCTTTGCTAAAGATGACAGGTGACATATCAGCGTCAATATTCATTGTAATATAGATTGTAAAACGTGAAGGTAGTTCAGTCGCGAGGTGAAAGAAACACAGCAACAGTTGGCGGCGTTTTTGCGTTTATTGTCGAAACACAGTAAACCGTTGGCAACAACTGCTGTTATCGTCATAGGAAGCAGCAAATTTCTTGTTCAAGTTGACTCAGGCATACAGATGTGTTAAACGTAAAGGTTTCTTCTTTTGGTTTATTTAGTGATATTCCAATTTGGACAAGTGTATTATTGCAGCTGTTATTGTTACAACTTTGCACCCATAAATTGGCCGATCTTTGTAGATTGCCGGATGCCCAACTCCAGCATAATTTCTTCAGAGCCGCCAGGTATAGCAAACGCGCGCACTTCACGATACAGACGCTCAATCTTTTCGCCTTGGCCACCGCGGGTATAGGAAAGGCCACCAAAGATTTGGGCAGCTTCACGGGCGCAGTATTCGAATGTCTGTGTTGCTTGAGCCTTGCACACTGTATACATGGAGAATCCGTTAATGTAAGTTTTTCGGATACTCTTTGCGAACGGTATACTAGCGCAATCTTTCTCCTGAAAAACCAAAGTAAAGAAACTTACATGCAATGTTTCCTCCCAGACGGAGGGGCTGCAATTCCAAGGGCATATGAAGTGATTGATACGCCAGGATTTCCATCCATGCATGCGTTGCTTCGACTTGTCGAATCATGTGAGCGAGCTTATTTCGGATGACTGGATGGTCAATGAGGCGCTTCCCAAAAGTTTTGCGCTTGTGGGCATACTAAAGCCAAAGAGGGAGAGTCGACAGATTAGTAGTTATTTGGAAGTGTACACGTTCTTGCTTTATGCATCGAAAGGAGTGTAGTTTACCTTGAGACACTCTTCAATGCAGACACGAGCGAATCGATTTGCTTGGATGACGATACCCATACGTTCTGCATTAAAGTTCCTGTAGTGAAATATGAGTGGTGTAAGCTAAATAGCTTACTATCACTATTCCTTACACTGCATTATTGGCATGTAAAAGCAAGCTTACGCAACAATGTACCGAAAACCTTGGTTTTCTTCACCAATCAAGTTCTCTTTTGGGACTTTGACATCCTCAAAAGTAACATAGGCAGTGCCGGACGACCAGACACCGGAACAGTGCATCTGACGCGTAGAGACACCAGGCATGGTGCGCTCAATTAGCAAGAAGGAGACTCCTTCAAAACCAGGACCGCCGGTACGAACAGCCACAGTAAAGTAGTTGGCGAAAACGCCATTGGTAATCCATTTCTATAAAAGTGAGAGAGGCGCTGTTCAGTCAAAATTGCTAGGTCCGTTGTTTTCCGCTTTTCTTACCTTTTCGCCATTGACAAGATAGTGGTCACCCATATCCTTAGCTTCAGTGACCAAGTTTGCGACATCCGATCCACCACTAGGCTCAGTAATAGCTAAGCAAATGAATTCCCTGCCGCTTAAAATGCCAGGAACAACCTTTTTTTTCAAGTAATCGGAGCCGAACTGGTTGTTTAGAGAAGAAAACGATGGTATTCATTAATATATGCATCATGTCATCAATTTTTTTTATAATCTATAGTTGCATACCAGAATAACAGGAGGAAGCCCGATACCGAGACCGCCTATCAAACCCCAAGTTACCTATAGTAATTGAATTTCGCGATTAGAGAAATTCTTTGGGTACAAAGATCGCATTATAGAGTGGCATCAAAACATAAAGAGAGCAAATGGATAGATGTTACGCACACCGCCAGAACCACACCGCGACAGCTCATCAGCAACGACAACGTTATGGAACGTATCCCAATCTTCAGGCTTGACGCCAGCGGGGTAGCCATAAGGAATCAGGTCAGCGGGTGCATGATGACAGCAAGCAGTGAGGATACCAGCCTTGGCTGCTTTTTCGAATAATTCTTGGGGCAATTTCTTGGCTTCGTCCCATTCATAAGTATATGGCATGATTTCCTTTTCGACAAAATCACGAACGGCCTTGCGCACAGCACGATGCGAGTCATTGTAAAATGGACTATACCAATCCTGATACCTAATAGAAGTTCGAGGAAAAAGGTTATAGTTTCGCTTCGTCATTAGACGAACAAACTCGTGCATTACATGCTGACTGCTATTTTCAAATCAATTACTTTACCACATTGGATCACCAAACGGCACCATATCACCAAAGGTTTCTCCGATTTGAAGAGGCGACCGTTCCTCTTCTTCATCTAGAGCAGCTTCCTCGATACCAGTGCCAACTTCACCGATCAGAAACTTTGGTCCGTACTTTTCGAGAACGGAGGGGCTATGGAACGCGTTGAATTGCTTGGTCGCGTCGGTACCGGATGCCTTGAGAAGAACCTTTTTGCCACCTGAGAAATGGAATGAGTGCGTTTTCATATAGAGAAACAACTTCTGCTGGCACTAGAGCTAATAATGCTTACCGGGATGATCATCCAGAAAGTTGGTTACATCGTATATTTTGTCATTGACAATGATCCAGCTATATCATATTGTGCAAATAATTGAAGGAACGAATGACGCGTGAATGAAAAAATGGCTATTGTTGCCGACAGTTCGCAACTTATGCAACGCGAGGGTTTTGGCCAGGAAAATGGATAGTGTGAAAAGCAACTTTACCAGTCGTTATCAGACTTATGTTTCGCAACTTCTTCAATCGTGAACTTCTTAGACATGACGTTGTTGCTGTGTGTTCTTGGATATATCGAAAAGTATAAAAGACGAAAAGGAGGCTTTAACACAGAGGGAAAGTGATGGGGTTGAAAAGGGAAGAAGAAAGCACGAGAGAATTAAATAGATATACGAGGGTCTTGAGTGATTCACATGCACACAAACAATATACACCGGTTTTCATTTCGACGCGTGACCTTCCCTCGTTTTTCTGTGAGTGAAGCCCATACTAGGCTATTCTTATTCTCTTGCATATGATGCACACACGGCCGTCTCATTACTTGTTACGTCGAGAGATGACTAGTGAGAGCGATGCATGGCATACATTTTCTGGTAAATATTAGTCAACTACCTTCTTTCCACTGGAGCGAGCTTCTTTATGTCGAACGATTTTATACGATTTAGATAAAGGACGGAGTATACGAGAAAGTTCATGCAAATGGTCAAAGATAACCCAGAAATCAACCGGCGATGGTGCTCCTTGTTGTTTACGTAACCGACATATACTTACCCAGACTCCTCTGTATGATGAGTCTAAGTACCTCTGCACGTGAAAAAAAGGGGGCGTATATTAATGACGATGCTTCTCTTTTTTATTTAAGCGAACAGAGCGATAACCGATCTCCTGGATTTGCTCGTAGTGATACGCTCTTCCCTGACTTGTATATAGGTTCTAAATGGATTGCGTATGCATACACACCGAATGGCCTTCTTCAATCAAGTCCTGCAATTTTTATTATTAGGGACATCCCTACGAGGAATATTTAAAAGTGAACATACATAGTTGTTGTTTTTTTGTGGGGTAAAAAAAGGTAAATGTGCATCGTGCCACACAGCGAATATGCATCCGAGAAATTTATGGTCACTGTGCCACATGCACCAGCCCATAAAAAGACGATAGTTCTGTAGTCAGCACAAAGCACACCTTAGATGGCAAAAACTGATTTGTTGACAGAAAAATGCTCAAAAGAAAAAGAGCATGGACGGTGTTTTTTACATGCATTTTCATACAAGCGAGCCCTCGATTCTAAATGATCCTTTGTACTCCTTGTAAGGTCACATAATGAACTAGCGATCACTCGAAGAATTGCGAGGTTTAGAGACACAGCAAGAAGTTTCAACAGCACACTATATGCTCATGAGCGGGCTGATACAAGTGTGTTGTGTGAGCTAATCTCCTGTATCGTTGTTCGCTTATAAACTAGCGACGTCCTATCATAACAGTGATTTTAGTAACATCAGTGGGTGGGTGCCGCTTGCCGTGTATAGCATTTCGTTAGAGTGGCTTTCCATACTCAACGGCCATATTCATTATGCAGAATGATCCAATTCCTGAGAAAAAAATAAGGTTACGCCTACTCGCGGGAAACAAAAAACCTTCAACAACTCTGATACCAGCATCTATCGTCAACAGGTTTTGGTATGTTACTTGCTTCCATTAAATAGTATTAGAGAAACCTTGACCCTATTATTGTATTCTTTAAAAGTCCTCACGCAATCAACCTTCTCATATATGACCTCATAGTGGTATATGCAGAGCTTAGCTGTACGAAAGCTAGAAAGCGACGCATCATCATCATTTCTCAGGTGCAAGCGCTATGTGTAGTATATTACAGTCCACTTGACAGTCGCGACAACCAGCTTTACATCAACTACTGTAATAACTCGTAAGTTAGGCTTACAGCAACACCAGAATCACTTCTATAGCATATATGTGTCATTTTTCTTAATTGGAAAAAAACGTGTATTAGGCGACATACGTCACCAAGGTACCTCAATATTCAAGTAACTCTTATGTTACTGTATCTAAAGCTACATCATCTCGGGAACTGAGCTGTTCCTTAACATTATGATGTAATGATTTTGATATTATCATCACCAAGCTCTCTGCATTATTCTGTGTGAAATTAAACGGTCATTGCATAGCATGTGTGCTTCATTAGTAAGTTTATGCGCAGCTTTGTTTTTTAGAGCTCACGATGATGTTTACAGCATAATGAGTGGCATGTAGGATTTTTATGCCATCATCATGAATTTTTATTATGATAGATGTAATTATTAATTATCATTGGTGGTCACATAATACAAGAGGGGGAAGTAGAGAAATGATAGCTTCTAATAACAGGAACCACAGCAAAATATGTGTATGTGTGTGTGTGTGTGTGTGTAATTACTACTAAGATATACAATCCTTTAGAGAAATTGTAATTTCAAAAAAGAAAGAAAAAGAAGTTAGATATTGAGAATGGGAAGAAGTAAGCGGAGTAGGAGGAGGGGAGTTGTGGGGAAATTGAAATTAAGATTTTTCGATTGACGAATGGCCGTCGTCAGCAACTTGATGCTTTTCAGTTTGCTCGAGGTTAGCACCATCGTACTTGCGAGCAGCAACAGTCTGAATTGCGTCAGCTTCATCACCGCCAAAGAGAATTTCCATCTCTTCAAGAGATCGATTCTTGGTTTCTATGATTAAACAAAACGTTGGCCAGTCATTAATAAAACGTGGCTAAACAAAGAGAACATGTTTGTACAGCAGATGTATTGTGCGATTCTTACCAGGATAGAAAAAGAATACGATCAAACCGCAGATAACGTTGGTAGCAAAGAAGAACATGTAGGTGCCGAAGGCAATATTTTCAATCATGATTGGAGTAATTTGGCCAATAACAAAGTTGAAGATATAGTTGCTTGCGGTTGCCACTATGTAACAGTGTTAGTAGTTCATCATCACTGAAAGGTATTTGCTGTGTGCTGTATATGAGACCCAGGGAGAAAAAAAGCTTACGTGAAGCACCCTTGGCACGAGCACGAGTAGGGAAAATCTCGGCAGGGTAAATCCAAGCAATAGGTCCCCAAGAGAATGAGAACGAAGCGCTAAAGATAAACATCATGGCGACAGCGCCGTACTGGGCACTGGTGTTGTTGTCGCCACCTTCGACGTAGGGATAGACCTTGAGCAAAGAACCAGCGATCAACATGGAACCACCCATACCGGCACCACCAGCAAGCAGGGTGTTACGACGACCCCACTTGTCAACGAACAAAATGGCAGGGATTGTGCAAACGACACATACAATGCCATTGACACCAGTAGCAAGTAAGGAGGGCAAAGTGCCAGTCATGCCAGCGGAGCGGAAAATGAAGGGGGCATAGTAAAGCACGGCATTGATACCGATCCACTACAAGCATAGATTACTTTTAAATAAGGTCGAATTTCACAATCGCTGATACGACAGCAAGATGAGACAAGTGAAAGTTACCTGCTGCATGGTTTGGATTCCCATACCAAGAATAACACGCTTGCGGATTGAACGGTTGCGGAAAAGCTCAGCGTAGGACTTGACGGCTTTTTCATCTTCGAACTTGATTTGCTCCATGATCTCGTCGTATTCTTGACGGACATAGGGATCATCAATGTCACCATTGGAGTGCAACCTCGCAAGGGTATGAAGAGCCTCATCGTAGCGACCACGGCTGCAAAGCCAACGAGGGGAGTAGGGGAGGAAGAAGCAACCGCAGAACAGAAGAACACTGGGAGCGAGCTGTAGACCGAGGGGAATTCGCCACGATGCGTCGCTTTGAATGCTGTTTCATGATAGCAGTTTTCGGTTGGGTTAGGAGTTACAAAAGGATATATCAGCGTGTTCCTGAGTAATTGATTTATAAGAAACTTACTAAGCACAGCCATAACCAATCCAGAATGCGACCATGATACTACAAAGAGTAATGTGTGTGAGCTTAAGAATCTGTGTTGCTGGCGTACCAGTGAAGAAGACTGGAAACATGGGATTTGAAAAGCGAGCTTACCCAAATACGATACTGAACTGCTGAAGACTGACGGCACGACCGCGGAGATGAGGAGGGCTCAACTCACTTTGGTAGACGGTAATGTTGGTGCTGTAGATGCCGACACTAATACCCTGAATAAAACGGCCAGCCAAAAGGAGCTACAAAGCAGAGATTAGAGACGATGGTCAGCTTTCTTGGTGGCAGTTTGGGCTGCTGTAGTACTGTACTTACACCGTCGCTGGTTGCACCTGTTTGCATCGATGTACCAAGCCAAAAGATGACTGTTCCGACCATGATGCTGATCTTTCTACCAATGCGCTCGGAAAGAGGACCGGCAAAGAGGGCACCAGCAAAAGCACCAAGCAATAGGATACTTGTAATAAAACCACGGCGCACATCATCAGGATCGTTGAAATAATGAATCCAGTACCTAATACAGAGCAGCATTCATTGTCGTTTAGCACAGATGACGACGAACACTTGACGGATGATGACGCTCGGTTGTATGAATGTGTAATACTTACGGCATCACAAGAATGCCACTCATGACACCTTGATCATAACCAAATAGGAAACCACCAATAGCTGTGACATTGGCGCGTTAGTTTTCCACCGTATCACCCATACATGCATGCTTAAAAAAAGAGGGGGGGGGAAGAATGGTCTTACAAGCAAACACTACGGCCAGGTAGACTTTCCAGCTGGTCTTTGGAAGAATCTTTAGATCTTCGCTCATTTCGACGGTGTTGTGTGGAGGTAAGAGAAAGAGCAGGTGACAGGGGGGCCCGATGCCCCGTTTGACGGATCAGATCATCTTTATACTTGCTTCCATAAGGGACTATCAAAGGAGAATTTGCCTCTTCCAGATATTTTCCGATAGGCCGCCAAACTTTATGTCCCAATAAGGCTTTTCTTTTGCCAAAATTACCACGGCCATGCGACATCGTTCTTGATTGCGGTAACTCAGCTCATCCTTTTTTGTTTTTGGTGCTTGCACAACTGAGCCCAACAAATAGCAATTGAAGGATCTACCGCTCTTTCTCTCCGGCTCACAAGCACATTTGATAATCGATCTACGATTGTTTATATATTGACATGCGAGGCGGTAGAAGAAAAAAAGGGCAGAGTTTATCTGCGCAAGATGGACATCTACAAGGAAGATGACAGAGAAGCCGACAGTGTGGGGAGAGAGAGAGAGGAGGGCGGGCTTAAACTCCACCAAGAGTCATCCTCCATTCAACTCCAGCTGCAAAGAGCTCCACTTTTTATTTCCTTTTTTTGTGTTACCGCTCTACCCCGCGATGTACCAAGTGTCCGGGAAACCGTCTTTGCTTTACCGCGCACAAGTATCCTGTATCCTCTAATCAACTATGATGCTCACTTTGGAAAAGAGCAGAACATTCTGTACAAACTTTTCTGTGTTCTCTGTGCTGTCCTTGCGTGGAGCACATGCAAGAGTGGGTCCTTCGCAAGCGAGAACAATGGGATGCAACTTGCCGTTACTGAAAAATATGGGGAAAAGCCGCGGGGTCTGGAGCGGTTCTTTTTTTACCCACCAATAATAGTACATTTGAAAGTACGTGTCTATTCATTCCAAGAAGTCTAAGAAGAAGAAAAAACCTCATCTGACGTATGTCGGAGAATGATGACTCTTTTTGCCCAATGCAGTAATCGCAAGGAGTATTAAATTCCAGCTGTTCCGGTAACAGGCGATACGCTTTTCCTACTCTTCTAATAAAGCTGTGTATTCTTTCGCATGTGATAATTAGGGAAGACATAGGTAGCTAACATGTACTTATTTAACGAAGCAACATGTACATGCAGCATATCACATAGTAGATAGAACTGGGGAAGAACTGGGTAGCCCTTCATTCGTCAATGTTACACGATAAACGTCATTGTATCAATCCCCACGATTTTGAATAGCGGTACGTACACATGAGAGCTCGCGTTGTTGACTCGCTGTTGCAACACCTCGATCTGTCGTGTGATTGGACCGATTACAAATGTTAGATTTCTGATGGCTTTTGCTGGTCGGGATCACATATTATCATTATAATGGTAAGTCGCCGAATAGCAAAAGGAGAAGTCGCCATCTTCGCAGTCTTGATTGTTTTTACTCCTAGAATCCAATCTTAAGTACGAGGGCTATAATTCCGGCCCAAATACTGCACGCATTATTCTTATAGTTTCAAATCAACCAAACAATAGCTGCGCGAGCTCTGATCGATTCATTAAGTAGCAGCAATTCCAATGAATAGTAAAACCATATACTCATAGAAACAAATGCAATGTTGTAGCAAATATGGATGCTGTGGACCAGGCGAATTTCGCCAGAGATCCATCCAGAGCTCCAGTGCTGTCTTTCGGAACCTAAACTGGCCCTCAAAGGCTCTGTAAGGTTCCAAGCCCAAAAAGGGTACTCCATGACAAGATTGCTGCACTATCGATTTTCTTTCCTTCACTTATATTACGAAGACGAGGGGAAATATGAAACAAAGCATGAGCACTAGAAATAGCGAGCTTGATGAAGTGTAGCTTTTGTAATCTTGTTCAAAGAGACTTCTGCCGTAAAGGAAACAGCCACGCTTCCTAGCATACTACCCTTTATGCCAACTTACTACAAAACCCAGCCCCATAACAAACAACAGCATGCGCTGAGTGGCATCTATAAAAGAAAACTCTCGCCCAGATGCAGAAACGGAAGTCCAAGTGGAAGGAGCAAACCTTGGCTATCATGGGGGTTAACCGAGCTTCTGGGTCAAAGAGCGCTCCAGATTGACACTGTTGAAGCCATTAGACAATATTATAGAGGCACCGCAATGAGACAATCGATAGTATACTCAATAACGAACGTCATAGTATCGTACTTGAAACGTTGGCTTTAATCTAAGCTCTGACACAAGTGACAAAGGAAAAGGGTGGTAAAACAAGAGAAGCTATGTTGACGGTGGTTTTCGCGGAGCAAAGGTATTTTCAATTTCTTTATCACATCTCCTTAACACTCGAAAGCTAATGCTTGAGAACATTGTTGCGCTGAAGAAGATGCATACATGCTTCTTCACACGGTCAAAGTATTAGCATGAGGATTCTTGTGGTCTACGTGGCCCAGTTCGTCGGGGTATAAGATATGCCCATTGCCAATAACACAGTAGAAAATGTCCCTCGAATGATGGTAGAGGTTGTATCTTCTTCTCTTTTCTGAATAGTATCGATGCTGCAAAATTGTAAAATGAGAAGCGGGACACGTCACATCATATTTTAATAAGTCATCAATAGCACATTACGTATGTTCTCACAGATGAATGCATTTAATTGTTTCATAGGAATACTTAGTATATGCACCTCATTGCTGTATCTAGCATGGTTAATCACACATATCCTCTGTTCCGTAATTCGTAGTTGCTGTTATTTCCCTCTTAATCTTTGTGCGCGGACATTCTTCTCATACATCCAGACACACCTTGGTGTTACACGGATTACCTATGCTTCAGAAAGAAGTTGTCACTATATGGATCACGTAATTTGATTATCCACTTATCCGAGGCATTTACCCGGGTGGACCTTTTACCCACGTATTTCACATTACTTAATCCTCTTGAAAAATCAATCATATCAATACACCCATCAATGCACGCACTGTGGTAATTGCTAAGAATAAGTCATTCCGTATAAAAAGAGAGAACTTATGTTATTTTAGTAAAGCAAACGTAGTTTTAGTTCAATTTGGGTGTCGTTGACTTATTGCGTCTCATTTCGGTTTACTTCTTACACACATATCATTGTTACTTATTAGATCATCGACGAATTCTAATAAGTGATGCTGATGACTGACATGTAGTCGCTGAGTGAATCATATAAACACACGCACGTCAATATGTGGGAAGTATGTTTGACGCCCGAAAGTGTGTACAGCTCTGTAATATCCACACAATCAGCTATGTTACGTCTAGTTACCACCTTTGTATATCCGGCTGCCAGGGCGCCGTTCATATAAGCAGCATGTATAGTCACGGCTAACGATGGCATTGTATTGTTGAAGTGAGAAAAACGTTGTTCGACCGATCATTGTTCGTGTACGTATTATGATTGTCCGTTAGCAGTATAGTATGACAGTGTTCTCCAAGTCTTATTTGTCGTTGTCACTCTCAATTGCGGCTTCCTTCTTTTAAAGTTTTGACGAAACATTTTCCTCGGTTTTGATTTTGACAGCAGTCGCCAATAGCTATCATATATTTTTTGAGTAACCGTGATGATTTCCGTATTTAGCAACCGTGTAACACATCCGGGAACAAAATGCAGCTTACGGTCTTCGTATATCACAAAATCTATAAAATGAATATAGGCTATCAGGGGATGAAATAATCAGGTTCTGTTGTTGGATAAAAAAAGTATTCAAAAAGGACAAAATAGAAGCGAAAAAAAAAAGATTAAAGGCAGTAAGAGCGTAGTAGGTATGACACGGTGGGAGGATAGACCACATAAATGAATGTACTAGACAAGGGTAAGAAGTAAGAGAAGACAAAGTGGCTCCCTGTACTTTCATGCTTATTCAATAGAGCAAGGTATCCGAGTAATCTTTCCTGATTCTGCTTGACTTATCAGGTTTTTGTAATATGCACGTACTTCATCTGTTTGGAAAAGATCCTTGTCGACCTGATAAACTGAGTAAGTAATTGCCATGTCTTGCTGAAACGGAAAAAAAGGTCCTTTTACCTGGGGTCGACACCGTAACAAAATATCCTGGGCCTCTGCAGGGCTTAATAGATACATTCGTAGCAAATAACATAGTGCAATTGCAGCGCTTCGCCCACGGCCCGCTATACCAAGTGAATCGTTAACTTTTTATTTGCCGACGGTACCGCCCCTCTATCTTTATTTTCCAGCTTACAGTACCTTTGCAATGTAAATAGATGCATCCTAGGTTTTGTTGCGCGATATCTAGTATATCATCCACACCTTGTTCAATGTGTTCCAAATGCGGAATAGTAAAGTCACTCGTTGGCAGCAGTGTTTGTTTCATCCCTAGTTCATCGTACAAGCTTTTGTAGCCCGGAAACTCTGCACACAGATTGACGATGGCTTGGACGCGTTCTTGTGAATGCAAATCTTTGATATGCGTAGGTGTTGGAAGGGCGCCCAGTAAAACATGTCGATCAATTCTGCATGTTTATTGGCCTTGCATTGATGAGCTATCTTAACTGATACCTCTTTTGCCTCTTCGCTCCATTTGTTGTCGCGTGCATACCTGTTATACCATGCCCATCCAGTTACACAACCTAACATGCCAACCAGTATCTAAAAGACGTGGATTAAAAGTGTGTAGCAGCAAATCATCCTTGTAAAAATGCGGTCCAGGAAGAACGGGGAGATAAACAAAGGATCGGGGGGATAATGAAGGGTATGGGAGGAATACTGAGACAACGACAATAGTACGCGACTTGACTCACCTTGTTATAGTATAATGATATATAGAACCTCGCCCATACCAGCAAGTTGTCAGATTCACCTGCTTCTCGAAAAGTATCGTCTCGTAAGGACGTTTTCCTTTTTCTATCTGCTCCACTGCCGGGGGCTGCTTTTAAAGCTTGGCTGATGCCCAGTGATGATTCTTGTTGCGTACACGATGGACGGTCCTCATAATCTTCACGGGTGCTGACCGTATTTAGACTCATTGGCGCAAAGAAAGTGATTTGTGCTGTGAACTTATGTCTGATTTCAACTGAAATTGCAAACGTGAAAAAAAAGAAGAAATAAAGGTGCTTTTGTCCTTCCTCCGACTTAACAGATACACCAGCAGAGTGGCCTTAATTTACCTAAAATGGTAAATAGAAAGAGAGCAAGTGTGCATAGTTCGTCATGTGCGACGTCAACGTGCAATGGCTCTTATGATACAACACTCCCTCTCAGCAATACCTCCTTTGGTCTATTTCCCTTTTACTGTTGCTTTGCCGGCGTATATCATTTCATCAGTGTTTAGTTTATGCGATGCGCTGCTTGATTTATATATGCCGATACAATTGCTGTTGTAGACAGTACAGTAACACTACTAAGCTAACGGCCAAAGATTGCTGCAAGAGGAGTAATTATTCATAATGTATAATGCATGGGTGCGCTGACAAGTAATAATAACATTGTACGCAAACATCCTCCTTTGGGCATCAAAGGCACTGAATAGAGATACGATGAATATGAATGTGTTCTTTATTCAGTAGCAGCAGCACTTGTATCCAGCTATGATGGGAACGCATACGCCATGGTTGAAATTGAGGTCCTCTTCACAATGCTTGACGCAGCTGTCTTTGTACCCTGGGCAACCAAAAGATGACGGTCCATCGCACATGGGCCACTTGCTAAGCGTATCTGGAGTTTCGCCTTCTCTCACTGAAGAATCGTCATCCCGCTCTTGAAACTTTAATACATCAACGATCGGTTTTCGAATGGTATGAGTTGGTCCACTAGTGGTGCGTCTGTTGCTCTCACCATATACGAAAGAGGTAAAACATAGTAGCAGTAATAAGTAACAAAGGAATGATGATAGCATCCTGTTCATGATGAGGTGAAAAATAGAAGAAAAGCACGATCCTTTGATCAAGAAGGACGAATATGAACAAAAAAAGGAGAAGATAACAAGAAATGCATAATAAGTATGCAGATGTATGGTTTTGCATGATACCACATGCCCTATGTGTGTTCCAAAAAAGCACTTGGCTGCAACCATCATAGCTGACGTTGGGATTGCCGAGAACAGCATGTAAACGCAAACTCGTGCCATTTGGCCATTGATCGATGGCGATAGCTCCCTTTAATCATGATATGATGAGCTTACTCGAATATGCATTGCGCACTGGCAGCCACAATAGCTAACAAACAACAGACTAGTAATCAAGCAACATCATATGCACATCGTATACTTTTGTTTGAAAACGTAACTAAACTTTATTTTCTCCAGCTGAACAGCGCTATTCTTGATTTTATCCGTGGTTCCACTCCTTCTTGTTCTCACCCAAGAATGCAAACTTATCAAGCTCGGAAATCTCATCGGCAGTCAAGAGGAATCCAAGCGCTGCTTCGTTCTGGCGCACATGCTCAGCGGTACGAGCACCAGCAAGTGGGATAGTTCCCTTTGCGATACACCAGCTCAATGCAATTGCACTAGACTGGCGATCGTATTTATCAGCAAGCCGTTTGATTGTACCCAGCAATTGACGCAACTGCTCCTTGTCAAACTTTTCAAAACGCTGCTTGCGAGACTTTGGGAACGGACCATCGGCTCCAAATTTACCAGTAAGTAAGCCCATACCGATTGCTACATACGCGATAGAACAAAAAACCTTACTATACTGAGTCTATTACTCTTTGGAGCTGAAAAGTGACCTGAGTGATATTTACGTGAATAAGCCAAGATGGCAATTCCAAGGTCGTGGCACAGCTTGATGAGACCTGATTCAGCAGGAATGGTGCGGACTAGCGAATACGAAACCTGATTGGACGCAAGTTGAATGCCACGCTTCTTCCAAAAGCGTATCCAAAAGCGTATCCATTTTGAAAAAAGCGTATCCAAAAGCGTATCCATTTTGAAAAAAGCGTATCCAAAAGCGTATCCATTTTGAAAAAAGCGTATCCAAAAGCGTATCCATTTTCAAAAAAGCGTATCCAAAAGCGTATCCATTTTCAAAAAAGCGTATCCAAAAGCGTATCCATACGCTTTTTTCAAAATGGATACGCTTTTGGATACGCTTTTTTGAAAATGGATACGCTTTTGGATACGCTTTTTTCAAATGGATACGCTTTTGGATACGCTTTTGGATACGCTTTTTTCAAAATGGATACGCTTTTGGATACGCTTTTTTGAAAATGGATACGCTTTTGGATACGCTTTTTTGAAAATGGATACGCTTTTGGATACGCTTTTTTCAAAATGGATACGCTTTTGGATACGCTTTTTTCAAATGGATACGCTTTTGGATACGCTTTTTTGAAAATGGATACGCTTTTGGATAACGCGCCATGCATTTTTTTGATTTCGTCCAAGCTATAGTTGGATACACCAACAGTTGTTACCAGTCCAGCAGCATGTGCATCGGCAAGTGCGTTGGCTGTAGTGGAAAGATAAAGTAACGAGTTATTGGCACTGGGTATTTCGAGCTAAAGGGAGAAAAAGACGATACAGTAAAAAGGTCGATATTATATAATGTACAACCATACCAACAACTGGAATAGCTACAGGATGGATTGGGGCGTGGATCTGTAATAAGCATGATGCAGACAAGAGAAAAATGTTTGAGAATAACCAAAGACAAGAGTAGCCAAGTGTCACCCAGACATAGCGAGGATTACCTGATAGAGATCCACTTTCCGGACACCCAAGCGAGCTAGTGAGTCGCGCAAAGCAGACAGCAGAACATCCGGAAATTGGGTTCGCTCGGGATAAGGGAAGTATTTCGTCGCAAGGATTTGCTTATTTCTTTCTCCTGAGCTATATTTTTCACGAAATCGACTAATTTCCTTCTCGGATTCACCCAATCCGTACACCTCAGCTTTAATCATGCAGCACAAATTCACGTCAGCATCCATAGTACTTTGGTATCCTTTGAAACTAGATACAGCTCGTACCTGTGTCATAGAATGGGATACCAAGTTCAACCGCAGTATCGAAGGCTTCTTTGGCATCCTTTTCAGCTTCGGGTGTCCAGCTCCAAGCTATATTAAAAGCAAGAAGAGGGATGAAACGATGAAATAAGAACACTAGTCCACATTTTCTCGAGCTCCTAGCGAGGCAGTAAGATATATATGTTCTGATTAATGCTTACTGGTAGTATCGCCCCATTGCCAACAACCGATGGCTATAATACATGCGTGAGTCTATATGCCTACTATTTTTATTTCCGATAAGCAAAAGAAAGGGGAGCGAGCCGCATACCTATAGGAGGTACTTTGACAGCTCCAGCAAGTACGATCTTGGTGTCTTTTGTGGGCACAACGCCATCACTTAATTTCACAGGAGACTCGCTCATGATAGATAGTAGTTACGAATAGTGTGGTAGAAGTGAAAGAGAGATAGAAAACGGAGACCGACCACTGCTGTCTATACATAGCGTATACAAACGGAAAAAAGAATCATGTTTACGTGGCCCTTTGTACCAACACGCACACACGCCAGTGGACAATTTAAGTTTGACAATGATGGGAATACACCTCATCCAGGTGACAAACTACGTAACAACATATTCAAAGCCCCATCGTCACAGTTACTTCAATACTCGTTTAATCATCGCCGATAGTTTTTTCTCAACAAATGCGACCAGCATATCATCCTGATTTCCAACATCCAAAGAAATGAAAAACTGCTGTTGATATTTGGCAGCTATGCCAGAAGTTTTAAAAGGGAATTGAGGGATAAGGCAGTTAGTTCAACGGAACCTGAAACACTTCTTCGCCTTTGTTTCCCTTTTACTGATTTTTTTATCATTCTTACCCAGTCTTCGTCCGAGGTTACGGCTTTGTTCTGCGATATCTTGGCCCAACACTGTGGTTACTGATGGTATCGACTGTGTGCGGGAGGTTAAAAAACAATCCGTGAGCCTGGTGTTTAAGAACAGCAACACGTAATATAGTTTATCTCACCTGACTTGCTATCGGTGGCATCGCGATCGACAGATCTTTCATACTGGCCTGTTGTTTGCCAACCCACACAAACATGGACTTGTTCATTTGCACCAATTGGAAATGGATCGGCTCACTAACATACGTCTGTGTCTCTTGATGAATCAAAAAGTGTGGTTCATTGTCGTCGACCATGGCTATTCAAGAAACTGAAAAGGCAAGAGAAGGAAAAGAGATCTATTACGCGGAGTTCCGTTGCGCAGTGTCACTATTTGCTATGCCCCGCAACACTTAAAAACGAAAGAGTTGGTGGTACTTTACTACTGCAAACTTCTCGTTGTAAATATGAAGCATAACAAGAAGATATTCCGATGCCTCACAAAGCGAGTATTTACGCAGCAGCATGTCAGACTTATCATAGAAAGATGCACTGGACCAGATATTAGGATCTGTCAAAGTATGCGACTGGTGAAGGAAACACCGTGTGCAAGTAATGGAGATACTTGCATTTTCAAATTTCCTACTTTAATAGCATCGCTCCTCCACTACCTCGTATCAACCGGTACTTCAGAAAGCAAGAACTACTCCAAGGAGGAAGAGAGCTGTCGCACCCGTACCTCGATGACGTTTCATTATAATCTCTCGATACTCACCGGGAAAACACAACGGCTGTCACATCGAAATAAGTACTCAAGTGAGCCTTGCTGCGATACATCGAGTGTCCTTTAATACTGCCATTAGCAGAAATGCCATTGAAGTATCACTGCTCAACATATATAGCTCCTCCAACAGACGCAGTTGCAATCGCTTATTCGTTCAGACATCGAGCATGATTTCTTGCAGGACTGGTCCTTGGTGGGCTGTTCACCAGAGCAACAATAGAAATAGTGGAATAAGGCATCGAATGAAGCACAACATTGTAGCTCTACGGGTGGCACTTGTTTCTCGCCTAGATTTTTGACGCTCATGATGAACCGCACTGTTGATATGGTAGTAAATTCACGGGTTTAGGGTGAGTCTTGCCATGGGCGTTCTATCTATTGCTTGCCATGGATTAGTCAGGTCGTTGTTGGAAAGTGTCACTTTAAACTATGGCTGCCTAGGATAAATATAAATTTGCTATAGAAGAACAATACTATACCGCCAGAGACGGAGTCAATGACCTGGTTGCTTTTAAGTAAAGCGCTTGCTAGTTTATAGATTATAGGATTAAGTTAGCATTAACAAGCGTTGCGATGATATGGTACATTGCCACCTGGTTCTTGGATATACTACGCATACATATGTACATGCGCTAATCAAATGGTCGCCACAGAGGCTCACAGGTACACACATCACTATACGTCAATGTAGTAGGAATCGATGTCGATGCATACAACAGCTGCAAAATGTGTATGCGACGAGACATACGATAGAACCTTATAGTGGTGACAAAACCACCAGAACGTCGTACAAACACCTCGAACTCTTTGTGAGACTGTTATGAGCATTACCACGTTAAAATGCACATGACGTTGAGTGCTACTTGCGATAGATATTAGGCAATTATGATGGTGACACGGAATGAAAGGGTTACAGTACGGACATGGAATTCTACCCCTCTTTCTCTTTGTTCAACAAAGCAGTAATAAATGGCTATTTTCCTTGTACAGCATTTTTGCGGACTCTTCTTTCGCCATTAGGTAATTTACAAAACAAAACGGCAGCACAAAAAGCAAGATATGGTCATAGAGCAATTAAGAGCAACCAACCCCCTCGGAACCTGGATTTGCTGACCGAGATTACTCCAAGGAAGTAGGATGCAGTAAGCTTTTCCATCAGATAAAAAAGTGCAACACACTTGTTATGAGTAGCTAAATCATGTTATTGTACATACAGCGTGTACGGTGTGTAATATCCGTGCATCGGTGCTGTCGGTTTGAAACATAGCGTCGTAAGCTTAAACACCCGTGCTTTTATCACTTTTGGTGTTACTTGAATGCTTTGAAATTGTGCATTATTGTTTGATATTTGAACAAGCTCAACAATAACTGCTATCTTTTGAGAGGACAACCTTTTCTGTAGACAAAGACTCCTTTATCATTCAACATACACGCAAGATTGTAATAATAGCAGCCAGCAGTATATGTGAAGAAGAGCTGAGTTGGACTATAAACTCATTCACGCCTTCCGAGAATACTGGCCAGTTCAGTCTTCCTAATATGTAACGCAATAAGAGGACTCATCATAGCTACTGCTACTTCGCAGAGTGGCCAGCGCAGTTGCTACCCCCATCAGAGGGAACGGCAGTAGTGGTAGTTGCTATTGTGATTATGTAAAAATATGTAGTATGTGTATAGACTGTTTGTGGTATGTAAAAAAGTAACTGCACTATAATCAAGGCAATATTACACAAGAAGAATTGAAATACAAGGGGTGGGAGGGGTTGGGAGAGAAAGGTTCGTTAGGCGGTGTGTGAGTTTTTTTTTCTTTTTTGGTTTATCTTTATATCGGATATACAGTTGAACACGCAAAAGCAAAAGAGTGAGCAACCATACTATTACGGATACTGACTACTAGTACAAGGCAGACGCAGCCGCTGATTCACTATATATACACTTTGTTTATAATTAATAGCGATGCGTGTGGTAAACTGGTGCGTTCGCAGGCGAGTCAAATTTCTGATAACCATGTTGCGACACTGGGATGGTTTCATTTATGGGCGATTGATAACCGCCACCACCTGCGGTAGCCTGCTGTATCATGTACAGCTGCTTTTCATTGTCGTGTTCTAATCGCTTGCGCATGCCCTTGACGCTTCGAACAATGTACCAAATGAGCAATGCTAGCACCAAAACGCCAATGACAATGACAAACACGTAGCGATGGTTTTGCTCCAACCAGCTCTTTTGCTCAGCGTCGGCTTCGTTGTCTCCTTGATTGAAGCCGGTATCGTCGACTGAGGTGGTTTGCGCCAGCGCGTAGGACCAGAAGAGAGCGGCGGTCAACAAAAAGATGTTCAACATGATTTGTATTGTGTGTGATGTACGGTATGTAAAAAGACAGGAAGGGGGGTTTTGTTGTTAAATGAAAATGTGATGGGGTATTGTGTTTGTTTGAGAAAACACAAACGGATGAGTTCGGCAAAAGAACTGGCCTGGGGGAGGTTGGTGGTAGAGAAGAGAAACGGTGAAGAAGAAGAAATAAAGCGATGCGAGAAAACCCTTTTGTTAACATTTCGTTTGCGGGGCCCGGTTCGATGCAAGTTCCGACATTTGTTCTATTATGGTTGCACAATGTTCACTTGCGCTTACCACAAATGTAGCACTGGCTCCTGTTTCTTGCATATATCGGTCAGTTTGTGAGATAGTCAAACGTATAACCGCACTTTGGATGGTTGATCGTGGCCGGCTCAAGTGCCATTGGCCCTTAATGCCTGTTTCCACGATGCAACACGACCCGTAATGAGATCGAGATAGCTTGCGTTGGACCACTGCATTCCTCTACCTGATCGCAATCATTGGGCTCGCGTGGTGCCTGGACTCTAGTCTTCTATGGCTACTCAGTAATAGGTATAACCTTCTCAAAGGGGTGTCAAAGCAGCATCACGTCGCTTTTCTCTCTCTCTATTTCCCCGTGAAGGCGGTGGAAGGCGAAAAAGGCAGTTGGCAATTTACGCATAAGAAGCGTGGGCGTCGGTTCTTTGCTTTGCACAACAACACGAGATGTTGTGCCGTCGCTCGATAGCATATCACTAGCATCTCTTTGGAATCGATGATGCTGCTGTGACACGCACGACTTAATTAGCGACCCTTTCCCGGATTGCACATGTGTGTAGCCATAAAAATCAGCAGCATAGCATCAAAAAGCAAGTGGCTGGTTTATTAAAAAAAAGAAAAACCACTCGAATCATTACCTTCTTTTAGTAACGAAAGACACATTCACCTAATGTTCATGTCAAAAGCCAAAATTCTCTTTTTGTTTCAGAATGAAGAAGCTTTCTTTGAAAGCGCAAAGAGTTCTTACAAACGAAAAGATGCGGTGCGTTTCGATAAGAAGAACTTCCAACAGTAATCATTACCAGCCATCTGTTGAATATGTTCGTGACGGACCTGAAACCGAGAGGGAAGATGAGCTCGAAAAATAATTTCCATTGAGTCCCTACACAAGTAGGAACATCTCTCTGACGCTTGCACGTCAGACAATGAAGACGATCCCTTGATTAACATTCCTGACATTTCTATGGAGGAATACGAAGTTTGTTTGGTTTCAAAACCAGATTTTGTGTGGACGCTTACGAAGTACCAATCAGCACAAGTCGCACAGTTCAATGGTCTCTTTGAAAACAAATACTGGAATCTGTAAGACGCGGCCAAGGAAGCTTCTATTGAGTTATCTACAGCATACAATTATATACAGTGGAAAGAATGGGGTTTGCATCTTGCCTGGTTACGTACCTGCTACGGAACTGAAACCGAAGCAGAACAATCTTAAACTCACTGACGAACATCCCCAAATTATTGAACATTATGTCGAAAAGCATCCAACCTGCACTGTTAAGGATACAACAGACGAACTTTGTAAAGCATTCGAGAGTCTAAAGATTTATCAGTTCACTGTTTATCGGCATATTACCGACAAGCTTTCCTTTACAACTCTTACTCGCACCCAACTAAAAGTAGCTGAGCGCAAATCTGAAGATACTATTTGGAGCACGGCGTCAGTTTGCTGAATATATTATCGAGAACAACATAGGTATCAAGAAGAAGTGCGTCTTCGTTGACGAAAGCGGATTCAATAAGAACATGGTACGTCCTGTCGCATGGTCAAAGAAAGGGCAGTCTGCAGATGTCGAAGTACCAACACAACAAGGCACTAATCTAAGTGTACTTGGATGTATGTCGTGTTATGGTCTCATTTCACTTTCACAACAAGTTCCACGGATGACTGGATTTAAAAGGTGTAAAATTGTTAGCAAAAATCTGGTCTTCTCCAAGGTACATCTTAATGGATAATGCCGGTATCATCCGTACAACTGCTGAAGTTCTTCAAGCAATCCGCAACCATGGTCATACACCTCTTTTTTTGCCACCATACTTCCCATTTTTTGATCCCGTAGAAGAGAGGTACGCAAAACCCCACTTGAAAAAAAAAACGAGTTCTTGGCCAACCGCATTGAAGAATCAGCTAGGATGGTCACTTCCAAACACTGTAAAGGCTGTTTCGTCATTCTCACAAGCACTTCAATAAGTGTATTAATATGAGGAGAATATAGTTTTTTATAGTAAAAGAAAAACGAGCAAAATAAACATTAAAACCTACATGTTATGATTATAATAAGTTTTAGATATTATCACCACCAGGGCTTCGGTCGTGTGGATAACAGTATGTCATCAGTTCCTTGCTGGAGATATGAAATTTATAAAATGTAAATTGTTCTTCATACGAGGGAGGTATAATTTATAGATTTTTTCTACCATGAACTTCGACTATTTACGGTTTACATATGTAGCAGATTGGTGATTATGCGGTTGAAGTATGGTGAATATGGCAGTATAAAAAATAGACGGGAGGGTTGCTATGCAGGTCCTTCTTTTTTTATGTGTTTTTCGGTTGCCATGGTAACCAAAAGGACTTTACAAAGACGCGAACAAAACAACCAGAGTCTATTGGAGAAAATATGCTTTTGTATGCTTGAGCATTGCTCGAAAGATACCTGTACAGTTATTACCTTTTGAATCCACTAGGTACACACATATTACTCTTAAATTATTTGTACATAACCAGATTCATGAAAAACGTTTTTCTTTATTTCATCATTTCATACTTTAGATAGTGAGGACTTAGTGACCGGAAACCAATAAATTGAAACGACTTCTGAGCCCTAATCGTTGCACACAGCATATTGACTGCATTTCATTTTACGATTCTAAGCAGCTCGTTTTATTTCTGCAACAACCTCATTGCTACAAGAACTCTTTAATTTTCTCATTTTATATGTTTAATACTTTTGAATCGTGGGCACTTGCTACGTCTCTAGGCAACAACTTTTCTTGAATCGTTACCGATGTCATTCCCAAATTATGAATTCGAACCGCATAAAAATGAAAAACTGAAGTTTTTCTCGGAAGTGAATGCACAATATTGGCAGTTTGAAACGTTTTTGCGAGCTTATCCAGAGGATAAAATTAAAAAAAATCTCTTGGACAATATAAACGGCCTCAACTGGGTGAAAAAGCAGTATATTGACGATAAGTTGCGCACCAATGTTGATAAGTTAATAAAAGAGTGGAAGAAGGTATTGGTCGAAGAGTATACATTATCTATTCCTGGCACCACACCCAGATTCAAAACAAAATAGCCCTCTCAACAAAAACTGGACAACATTGGAAGTTCGATCGAAGCTACAACTATAGTAAACTCGGGCATTATTTCCCTTGGAGATAATAAGTGAGTTTGCATTTAACGTCGTTTGAATGTATTATTATACAGATTAATCACTAATACTATCTGTTTTCCACATAGCAACAGCACTCAAACAGACAGATTGAAAGTATAGTTGAACGTTCTGAAATTTTATGAAAAATATCTAGTACCTGGTAAAATAACTGTGTGTATTGATATTATAGAGGCCTCATGCCAATAGTAGCAGTGCTTACAGTAATGATATTGGCGATGGCAGTAACAAAAAAAAGGCCCACGTTGGTGATCAAGAATTTACGGGTAAAGTAGTGAATCAATGAAGCATGTGATAAACAACTTACTCAAAATCCAAAGTAGATGAACCCAATTTTTTTGGTTTAGAACAATATATGGATGAAGTTGATGAAGAAGAAGAAGAGGTGCAAGGTAAACTGTTTCGATTTGTGTAATATGTCAATGTTTATAACATGGTATTATATAGTTGTCTCGTTGTGGACTGCTTAGAGAAGATACGTAGAAAATTACACAAACGATAGCTTGAATAACATATACAAGTAAGAATCATCAGCTAAAAATACTAAAACTTGTGCCGAATCACTGTACTAACTGATTAATAGACCGGAGCTTTATGGTGTGTTGTGGTGTGGAGTTGAAGTAAGCAAGCAAGATCCAATCCCAGAAGAACTTTACAGTGGTATTCAAAACTATGTGGGATCGATTAAGAAAAAGAAACCTTTGATTTATACATTATTTCGAAAAAATATTGATAATACCTTAAGAGCTTTGAGTATCAATGGGAAGGACTGGAAGAAGCATCTGTAACTTTATATGCACTAACATGTTTTCTTCAATATATTCAAAAGAAAACAGTTGAAGAAATGGAGATGCTTGTTGTGGGTCTCCCGGTTAATATTAATGACTGCTTATTGAAAAACAAAAAGATATTCATTCAAGATATCTTCAGTATGTTGTAAGTATTCTGGCTGTGAAATACATTTTTACCTACTTTCTATATATACTCATTAATATATTATTAATATATTATAATATGATATTGCAAAAGACATTTACACTGAAGTATAAACAATATCTATATTATTGTTATAAATAACAATATTATGATATCTTATTATACTGTCAAGCGTTCAAATAAAAATCTAACTTCGTTGATTTTTTTAAATGAACTGGGCGTCGTCATACCTCCTAGCCTGGTTTTTCCCAAACATAATGGTTGAAAATAACCATGGGGGTTGAGAATTTTATAGGGTTTGAGAAATTACTTTTTTAAACAAAAAATTAATTTCATGATTTATTATAATCACTTAAAAATTATATTACTTATAATTTTTTACATAATCATAATTTCACTAAAAACATAATACCAGGCCCTGGCAAGTTTTAGAACACGAAACACAGGATATGTCTTTGCAGCCAATACCATCGTCATTTTTATTAAATTGGTGAAAACACTTGATGCACCGTCTACCCACTTTTTTATAGTCTTAGCTATGTCTTTTTGTGCTGACTAGAAATCGTCTTGCTTGTGCTTCACTAAATTATAATACTTATGTTGACACAAAGTTGTTTGCTTGCCATCTGGATACACGGTATGTTTACTCGGCATATATCATCATAGTTCTGTCGTGTGCAGGGTCTTCCAAACTGTGCGATAGACGGTGCGCACGACAACTGCGGAATACTAAATTAGTCGTGCGCGAGGTCAATTTTTGTCGCGCGCGTAGTAATTCCCATGATAATGCTCATTTCCTCCAATTAGCCAACGATTGCTTCTACCTAGCCAATGCGATCAAAAAGAAGATCAAAGCTGCAAAAGCTATTTACGGTCAAAATTCACGCAGTGGAACTACTAAAGAAGCAATGGTTGTCCGTACTGGCCAAGTCGATCAGGAAATGAAGGCCGGGCTAGCAGCTTTGGAACGAGAGGTGGTCGAGCGCGTATGAAGACGCGTCAAGCTGAAATTGCCGATAAGTATGGCAAACGCAACACCTGGCAGCGGATTTTGGCGCTTCATAACGATCAAGAAGGTTATATTATCTTTTTGATAGCTTGATAGGCGTGACAAGGATCTAGTTATCGAATTAAATGCTGATTTCTGTATTTTAGATAGGAGAGTGTTGAAAAATGATAATGGACAAGCTGAACAGATTATAGCACAAAAGTCTGAGGAATACCATGCTTTGATGAATGTTCCCGAGCTCAGGGCGGACCTCATTCGAGCAACAGAAGATTATAATGGAAGCATCGGTGCCACTGAGCAAAAAGCCGTTCAATCGGCAAAGCTGAATATGAAGCTCCTCATCGGCTGTTTGAGCCGTAATGTAAGACAGCTAAAAACAAAATGCGGCGTGGAAACTTATTGTCTGTTCTCCACAGAAAAGATCACAAGTAAAGTGATTCCAGCAGATGCATCTGGCTCAGGCAATTCTTCTTTTTCCTGTTCGTCAAGGATAATATTATACTAAGAATTCGATGTAGATGTTGGGGTCGACTTCTTGGAGAAAGTTGAAGCAGGGCGAATTGCCGAAGTCACTGTTAAACTTAAGGAGCTCTTTAAACAAGAATGCTATAATATTTTAACAAATATACGTAGATATATATATAATCAAAATAGTTTACTTGAATCTAACCTTCTTATTTAGCTGCTGACGCCACGCATTCCACTTTTTCGTAAATCGACGATGCACTTGCACGTTCCTCTTCATCGCCTGCCGAAAATCGGCCTAAAGCTGTTGAAAACCATTCCTCTTCTCGTGGAGTCAAGCGGGCCGGGATGTGATTGCATACCCAGATATCGCACGCGTCACCACATGTAACTTTTGCGGCGACATCTTCTTGCATCAGCATAACACGTATCATCGCTGTCCAGATCGTAACGGCGACGTCCTTAGCTCTCAAGAACACGAGCTTCTGTACGTACGGGCACTCTACGCACATGACATTCTCGACGATCTACAACTAGAGCTAAATGGCACTATATTGGAACAGCAAGGGATTCGGTCTTTTGATGCAGTGGCGATATTGACCGAGATTCTTCTCTTCTTTTAATATATAGAGTGCGAGGTGATCCCTTTTGTGACGAAAAGAGGTACACAAGCATTTCTGATATATAAGGAAAGCATAGAGTAACCAAAAAAAATTAGTCTGTGCTTTCGCTCAGGTTTGAAAGGGCACCAGACTCGCTGCCGACCAGATCCACATCATGCTGCCTTTCCATCAATCCTGGATCTAGTAAGTGTATATGTAAACATTTCAAATCGATGCTTGACTATACAGATATCACAACAATCCAACCTGGAAAACTGATTAATTAAACATGCTGCCAATATTGTTTATCAACTCATTATAAATAAAAGTACAAGCCAGACTGCAAATATCACCGCAATGGTACTCAATTATTAAAAATATGTTGTATGGCATACGAAGATCATCTGCCCGAGATAATCCTGAACACCCCATGACTTCAATCTTTTTACTAGATCCTTCAATGATACGAAAAGCATTGATGCCTGCATTGGTGAGACTATAGATCCGTGAAACACGCAATAGCACCGAGCTTTCGACTTGTTCAAAATGCTCAAGGACAGCACCAGTAACACCTTTCACGGCTGTCAGTTCCAGATTCAGTATTTTGGTTTCCTCAAGTCGTTGTGCCCACACAATCCATCCTGCCTCTGTGAGAAAGTCGTCGACACTATTACTGTACGGTGATGTGCGGGTTCAAGCTTAATCTCCTGACTAGTGGGTGCTGTGATGGTTCGCACAACTGCATTGGACCTTGGTTGTCGATGGGTATGTTCGTGAGACGCATTTTTTCAAGCTGTTGCAAACGTCGAAGCGGAGTAAGATCGCAAAGAGGATTCTCGCTGAACATGTGAAGGAAATTTCGCAAGGAAAGTATACGGAGCCGTTGCAGCGTACCGATGGTTGCGATAATGCTGTTCAGATACTGCGTTATTCCAGCGCGATTTCCAACTTCCAAGATCTCATTTTGTTGCTGCATGAGCAAAATCTGGGACCAATCTTCGCTTGACATACCAGTGATGTCCGTCAACCCCAAACTTGTCAGCTGTGTGAATTGGTTGCGTGCCAAGACATCCCAGCAATGAATATCAGAAAGACCACAGGCGACTATACGTAAATGTTCTAGTATCGGCTGCGATTTTACTACTATCGGCATGATCCTCTCGTGTCCCTTGCCGTTGAATAGCAGTTCATAAGCCATACTGCCTTCCTCGCCATCATTCGATGCTTTCCTTTCAGTTACTTAATATAAGCACTCGTGCTTCTTGATAGTGAAATCCATCTGTCTGCTATGACTGGTTCGCTGCATTCCCACATAATGTAGCGTAATAGAGGGCACAGCTCATAAGCTGTATAGATGTTGGTTGGAGATACGTTGTTGAATCGTGAGTAAGGCGATAATATCAAGTACTTGATGTGGGAGCAACGCTGCAATAAGGGACGGATCCGGTATTTAAAACTGAGAACACCGTCCAGTCTTAAGAAGATAATGTTGTGTATCGGTGGCCTTTTGTGTCTGCTTCTGCCATCAACTTGTTCAAGAGTAGCGTCTGATAAGTTAGTGCGGCCAGCAAACATCACTGAAAGATGCGTTAATGACGGCAAGAAGTCCAGTAGCATTGGCAGCGAGATATCGCAAGTGTGAAATGAAATCGTCAGAGCAGTTAGCGTATGCGAGAAATATCTGATGAATCCTGGCAGTAACGTGCTACTGTCGAAAATCGGTTGTAATTGTTTGCTATGCACATGGTTGCTGATGTCTTATTTTTTAACAAAGAAAAAGCTTTAGTATATCTTTTGCGCATAAGCAGTAGTAAGTACTACCGAATACGCGATGCTCTTAACGCAAAAAAAAAGAGTATCGTTTTACTTCACCAAAGAAGCGAATGCTGTATCTTCGCCAAGCAAGTCGTTCCAGTACTTTATACGTGGCTTGAGATTTGATGTATACTGATTCGACTTGTTGTCCCAAACATTGAAGCATCGCATCGCTCCTTTTGTTCCATGCATCAGGCGAGATTCCCACCAGTGTCCACAGGGCTGTCTGGTAAGTGGGGATCGCGTATAACCAGCGGCGACATACTTTCACACATTCGACACAGCCCGCTGTCCGATAAACGAGAAGATGTACTGAATGATTCGGGAGGCAAAATCGAGATCAAATCAGTCATATTACGTGTATGTGAAAGGGGACGCGCGAAAAGAAATTTGGCACGAGGCTTTTAATCGAACAAAGCCTGTATAACATAATCCGGACTCGTGAAATAATGTGTCCGACAAAGGAAAAGCAAGTCGAAACAGGTAGCTCACCTGAATTTTATTTGGAAAAGGGGGACCCTGAAGATTGATCTATTGTAACCACCAGTAACTTCATTAAATCTATGCTATCATAGCGATACGCAGATACACATTAGAACAGGGCTCTTTCTAAAACCATCGACTTCTCGATACAAAGGAAAAGGCTTCAATCAATACTCGGGTTTATTGTTTGCGAGCCGCAAAAGTCATATATAAGTAACGAATCGCTTGGCCTGGAAAGCACAGCATCCCTGTGTGCAAGTTTCGGTAGAGCAACTATATCATATCTTTAACAGGTCCCCTGATATCTTTGGTGAGCGATCATCACTTTCAAATAGGTGACGCATACCTTGAAAATATGTAACGAAGTAAAGTTAAATAAGAAAAGGAAGAGAGAAGTGAAGGTGTAAGGGGGGGAAAGAGCTGTTACAAGAATCACGCTTTGAAAGCAGGCATATCGGAAACGTCAGTGCAAGCTTTTCGATCCAGGTGAAACCCAAATGATAAGAAAATCGTGTTGTGATAAGCTACGTGCAGGAAGAGTGAGAGAGACGAACAGCTGAAAAAAAAAACTTCCAATTTACAGATCTGACAATTATACATGTCTGCTGGCGCTGCTCTGGCGTTGTCTCTTATAAGAAAACCTCTTTCTAAGAAGGCTTGGACCATATCCTCGGTAACAATTTTATTTCTTGACAATTGCTTTGGCAATTTAGGCGAACACAGAAAGTGAAAAAGAGTGCCAAAGCATTGTGATCGTGTTACTTTCGGCTACGATACAGAGCCACTGTCACTGTTCCCCGCTTTGTTTAGCACGGAGCTGTGAATGGATGGAGGGGGGAGTAATTAGCTTTTTGTTCGCGAAAAAAGAAAAAGGAACTTGTCGTGCACATAAAAAAAAGGCGAGGCAAAAACGGTAAAACGTTTATGCGGAAATTGCGAAAAAGAAAAATATATTTTTTATTTTGTTTATCATTTTCTTATTTGTGTGTAATAAATAATAAAAAAAAAGTTCGTTTCAATTATCCCAACATATACCGTTGGCATCACATGCACCCGAAGGTTCACGATCGGCTGCCGGAGTATATGACCACATTCCCACTGGTATATATTGCAAATTTTCTTCAGGGCGCGGACCACTGAATCTGCCGATCATCAGAAGAATTATGACAATAGCCAGCACAAGCAATGACCCGATCATGGCACAGAGCAGTGCATCTGTACTACAGACCAAAGCTGTACCAAAACGAACTGAAGAGAAGAGAAAAAAGAAAGGCGAAATTGCTCGCTTTATATAGACATTTTTCTCGTTCGGGACTTCAAATCCCCGTGAATTCTCATTGGCCCAGATAACGGGTTGCGTATCAACTTGTGGGTTGCCTACTATGATATAACAAAACATACAGCACCAAAGGAAATGAAAGGAGTGGTATACTTGATGGTCAAGTAGACAAGCGTGCTTCGGCGGTAGTGGTACGTGTCTCTCACCATGGGCTGCTGTACCTCCGATGCTGTCGCCGCTTGGTTGTGAGGGGTCCGTGCACGGCACCGTGTCAAGCGAAAACAAAGACACGAATGTAAATGAGCATGTAGATTTACGGAAGAAATGCTTTTCTGTGAGCAATAAAATGGCAATATAGGATTGTCTGACACGGTAAGCAACTTAACAGATTCTACGGCATAGGACACGATCCTCCCAGCAGCCAGTTCCATTTCACCCAACAAGATAAACAGTATAAAGCGTAGTCCACAGACGATTCCATTTTGCTAGTATCTTTTGACTGCATGTGCGGTGTGCGGGAATAGATACAACACACACTTGACTCCAACGCTGCAGTGTATCAAAGATCGTTATCTTTTATTGTGAAGCGTGCTTGTCTACTGTTGCTTTATAATTTTCGCCATCCGCCAACAGTTCTCTGAACTACGCCGTGTAACCTCTATCCAAGTATGTACAGGATTTTTCCTAATGATTGGCGGGGCTTTTTTCCCATCATGGCGGGCCTTTTTTTTTCATTTTGGCGTTGGGGTGTGTTTGTGATTGGCGGTGTGATTTTCGTGAATGGCAGGAGGAAAAAAATACAATGGCGGCCGAATTACAGATTGATGGCAGAATAATAAATTCATAAAGGCGGCCGTAATTTCAGGTTGATGGCAGAATAGTAAATTCATAATGGCGGTTGGGTAATTACTGTAATCGTTTTGCCTTCTTTTTCTCAGCATGACAGTTAATGATTTTCGACAACTCTATAATTTATTAAAAAAATCATATATAAATATGAAAAAAAAAGTAAAAGGAAAAAATATCGAAGGGCAGTAAAAAAAAATATATAAAATATGAAAAAAAAACTACAGCATTTTCTCTCCTTCTATACACCTAGGCACAAACGTAAGGGAATGGCGAATCCATCCTTGGCAATCTTGGGCGGTGACTTCATGGGCGGAGTTGATGATGCGCGGTAGCAAGGTGTCGTCTGTGGTCAGTAAATGGCGTTTGACACCTGCCTTGAGCTTTGACCAAAATTCCTCAATTGGATTGAGGAATGGGCTGTAGGGCGGGAGAAAGAGGATCTCGAATCCTTGCTTGTCAATGGCATCCCGAACTTCATCAGTCTTGTGGATAGCGGCATTATCCAATACCAAGGTCCTTCCACCCATACCATTTTCAGTGAGCACCTTCATCATCACTTCCAAAAATTCGATAGAATGCTCCGCCCGAGTGCCGA